AAGAAAAAATCCTGATGATTGGAGTCACCCAGAAGTCAAATGGGCTAATGAGATGTGGTGGGTTCAATTTGTCAAGTCTTTTTTAGGTGGGTGCTTGGGCCTGGTGTCTCCCTCTTTAAGTCAAGCTGGATAAGAGAAGGGGGTGGTGAAGTGGGGAAGGGAATAAGCATTGTTAAGCACCTACTGCGTGCCAGGCACTGTGCTAAGCACTTTATAAACATCTCATTTGATCCTCACAACCCTGGAAGGTGAGTGCTATTATTATCCCCATTTTATAGCTGAAGAAACAGCTAAACAGAAAATAAGTAACTTGCCTAGATTCACCCAGCTAGTAAGTGTCTGAGTCTGGATTTGAACTCAGGTCTTCCTGACTCTGGACTCAGCCCTCTATCTACTGCACCCCCAGATGCCTTCCTGATTAGCATCTGTAAAGTACATTATAGACAACATTCTGCTTCAGGTACAGTAGAAAAACTTGATGGTCTCTGATGGCCAGACCATGAGATTCTGTGATCAAGGCTGGGCTCTGTATTATGAAAAGTAATGAGAGATTAACCAGAGTTGGATATTTAGAATTTAGAGCAAGAAGGAACCTTAGAGGTCCTCTCATTGGACAGATAAGGAAAAGTAATCCAGCACTTTTTATTCCTGACAGCTCTGGTCTATAACTCACTGTGATTGAAAGTTGGAGGATGAGAGGTTGGGGTGGAGGTAGATCCTGGACCATAGGTTGCTTCTCAAAGTACCACAATGAAGGGTCAAGACCTTTGCAATCCTGACAAATTTCATCACTAATGTTCTAAGGGCCAGTCTCAATGACAACCAGAGGGAGTAGAAGCATATCTCCTGCTGCCCACTGGGGCATGATAGGCTAAGAAGAAGCCCTACTCCAGTCCTGCTCATTCTTTTGACCTTCCTGGAGCTCAGATAGAATGGATTGCTTCAGGATATGGTGAGCTCCCTAGAACTAGAGGTGTGTAAGAAGAGAATGCTAGTCTGGGATGCTATGGAGATTTCTACACAAGTATGAGATAGCTGCCTTCTGAAGACGCTTCCCATTCTGAGATTCTGAAATTCTGTGAAGTCTGTTCTCTTCCATTATGGGGGAAGGGACGAAGACCAGTTTAGAACACAGAGCACCTGGAACATAGGCACAGCTAACATTTGAATAGTCAGCTCTTTATTCATTTGCAAGAGTCACATTTTAGGCAAGAGAATGACAAATTGGAGTAGGTCTGTAGGAAGGTGAAAAAGATCATGAGACTGGAGAGCACCTTTTACCTTTCATTGGAGAATTGATTTAGTACTTTGCATATTCTGACTGAGCCAAGACAATTTGTCTTTCTATGCCCACAAGGGAAGAGCTCTAACATAGATGTGCAAAGAGGTGCTGTAGCCAGGTCTTTTTCTAAAATGGGGCAAATCTGAACATTTTATTGTCTCTTTTTATTGAACCAAGAATGCAAAAAGATAAGTAAGGGCAGTGTGGAATTAGGAACAGCTGGAATATTCCAGGAACAAGTAATACATAAAGAGTATAAGGTTCCAACAGGTTGATCAGCTGTTTTCTATTGAGAGAGAGAGAGAGAGAGAGAGAGAGAGAGAGAGAGAAGTTTCCCTTGGGAAAGACAATTTCCCATAATCATTCAGAATAGCAAGGTGTAGTCTGACCATAGCCCTTTGCTAGAATGTCAAGTTGTAAAACCTGGAAAGACTTGTATAAACTGATGCAAAGTGAAACGAGCAGAACCAAGAAAACATTGTACACAGTAACAGCAACATTGTATAATGACCAACTAGGAATGACTTAGCTCTTCTCAGCAATACAATGATCCAAGACAAATAAAAGGACTGATGATGGAAAATGCTATCCACATCCTGAGGAAGAACTGATGGACTCTGAATGCAGATTGAATTTTTTTGTTTTTTTTTTTCCTTTTGGTCTTTCTTCTTCCACAACTGTGACTAATACAGAAATATATTTTACATGATTGCACATATATAACCTATATCAGATTGCTTACCATTTTAGGAAGAGGGGAGAGGAGAGAAGGAGAAAAATTTGGAACTCAAAATTTTGTAAAAATGAATGCTAAAAATTTTCTTTACATAATAAAATACCATTAAAAATAAAATAAGACCTCCAAAAAACAGAATGTCAAGTTCTAGTGCAAAAGAAAAAGATAAGCCTAGAACCTAGTTTCCACCCATTCAAGGGTCAGTTGAAGGAACCAGAAATTCCTCAAACATAGTTAGTATTTAATAACTGCTGGTTAATCTATTGAAGAGAGGCTGAACCAGACCAAGTGCACACTGAGGAAATCCATAATGGAAGAAACAAAATCTTGGAGAGCACTGAGACATAATTTTATAAGATATCTCAGGGAAGGGAAGGTACCAAAAGGTTCCCCCCCCCCAAAAAAAATTAGTGCCTCCATCCAAAATGGCAACTTCTCCTCAATAGCTGTTAATTCCCATGTTTATTTCCTCCTTCTTATAAAATCTTCTCTTGATTCTAGCCAAAAGACCAAGAAAAATTTTCTTTCCACAGTCTTTATGAGAAATGCTTTTAGACATATTGAAAGCATCCATGAAGAAAATATGAGAAGGAAACAGTCAGGCTTCTGTAAATTATTTTCTTTTGTTGTTGTTCAGTCATGTCCAACTCTTCATGACCCCATTTGGGGTTTTGTTGATGAAGAACCTGGAGTGGTTTGACATTTTCTTCTCCAGATCATTTTACAGATGAAGAAATTGAGGTAAACAGGGTTAAGTGACTTGCCCAGGGGCACACAACTAGGATGTATCTGAGGCTGGATTTGAATTCATAAAGATGAGACTTCCTGACTCCAGGCCTGATATTCTATCTACTTTACCACCGAGCTGCCCACTATTTCCTACATTAAACCATATCTTTGAAGTTGCACTATTGGTTCAGAAGAGGAGAGAATCTAAGATTCCTCTGTGTTTATCAATCAACAACAACAACTTGACCTGGTAAGGTACAGTGCAACCTGAAAGGTTCTCCTCCAATGAGGAGTCATACACATGTTAAGATCATATCAGAGGGGCAGGTAGGTGGAGCAGTGGATAGAACACCAGCCTTGGATTCAGGAGGACTGAGTTCAAAATCTGGCCTTAGATGTATAACATTTACTAGCTGTGTGACCCTGGGCAAGTCACTTAACCCCATTGCCTAACCAAAAAAAAACCCCCCTAAAAAAGATCATATTAGAGTCCTTGGTAAATGAAACCACAGAAATAACTCCAGCCATCTTTTAATATTAAATGTTTAATATAATATATAATTATATGTGATATAATAATTAATTAAATTTATTGATATAATAATTTAAAACTAAAGTTTTAAATTTTTTAAATTTTATACTTAAATACAAAACGAGGATAAAAAAAAAAACATTGTCATGTACACAGCAGACCATAAAGGGTGATTCAATATAACTTTAATTATTAATGTTAACCAGGCATGTACAACAGACATGTCTGCTCATGAAAAGCATTCACCACATCCTGAGGATGTCCTCTGCAATGTCTGAGTGGAGGAGAAATTCCCCTCTAAGCTCTCTAAGATACTGTCCCAAAGCTGTGTGAGCTTTCTGGGGAGGTGACGATTTCCTCAGTGTTGGAGATCTTTGAGCGGGTTAGGTGACAATTTGTCTGGGGTGTTGAAGGGATGGATGCACCTGCAAGTACAGGTCAGACTAGATCCCCTTGGAGCCCCCTTTCTGTTATGAGAATATGAAGGCTAGAAAATTCAATTCTATTGAACAATTATTAAAGGCTTACTGTGTTCAGATCACACAATGGACTTGAAATGCCAAGACTTGCTATTTAAACTACCCAGGGCACAGCAAAGGCCCCCTAGCCTTCAGTGCGTTTGGAGCACTCTATCACCTAGAATGCAGAGACTCTAGAGTACTAGGGCACCCTGAATTTTGAGGCCAGGGGAACCTAGCAGAATCAGCTACAAAGAATTTTGGAGTTGGAAGGTCCATCCATCTATCAGTCACCTAGGCCAGTCCCTACCCAACAAAGAATTCCCACCACAACACACCCTACCAATGGTCATCTAACCGCTACATGAAGACCTCCAGTGGGTGTTCCTCCCCTTCCCCTTCCATCCATCACCTCCTCAGACAGCTCATTGCAGTTGTGGGGAGCTCCAGTTGTTTCGAAGTCCTTGGGTTTTTTCTTCTGATGTCATACCTAAACTCTCTGTTTCCTAGTTCTGTCCTCTGGAACCAAAGAGAACAAGTCTAATCTCTCTGCCAAGTGTTAGTCCTTTAAATATTTGAAAACAGCTCTCTTCTTTCCCCCCACCCCACCACATCCCAGTCTTCTCTTTCCCAGGCTAAACATCCCCACTTCCTTCTACCAATCTTCACAGAGCATGGACTCAAGACCTTTCACCAGACTGGATGCCGTTTCTCTGGGCACTTTCCAATTTAACAATGTCCTTCCTAAATTGTGGCACTCAGCTGGGGTCTGGCCAGGGCAAAGGATGGCAGACCTTACTCCTTTTCCTGGAAGGCATGCCTTTTGATGCATTCTAAGATCACACTAGCTTTTGGGGCTGCCATGTCACAGGCAAGCTGCCTAGAACCCAGGAAGTGGTGACCCAGATCCCAGGCGAGTCTAGAATACAACCTAGAATCCCAGAATAAGAATTCAAGAAGGTAGGGGTGATCCAGAAGGGGCACTGGGCTCCAGTAACTACCCCACTCCATTTTTCTCCCTTCTGCTTCCCATGGACCAGGATGAAGATGCAGTTGCTTAGCAACCAGAGGGTGCAGTTTGGGATGACTCAAAGGAGGAGGAGCCAGGGGTACAGAATCCTCCCTGTGCTAAGAACCTGGGGTGGGGGGTGGGGGCGGGAAATATCATCCCAGAGTTGGGGGTGGGGTTGGGTTGGACTCCTCCCTGTTTTAAGAGGCGGGGCTGCTGAGGGGCGGGGCTTTCAGGCCCGGAGTTGGAGGGTTTTGGCCAAGCCTGAACAGGCTGACCTGACTCCCCCTCCCCACCTCCGAACAAGGGAAGGAAGGAGGCGACGGTCTGGGGTGGCAGGGCAGACTGGGGCAGGGGCGAGAAGGCCCTGTTGAGGGTAGAGGACTCCGGAGTCCTGGCCTGGAAACAGCAGGTAGGGGGGGCTGGGAACCACACACACACACACACACACACACACACACACACACACACACACAC